TGTTACAGAGTCATTTGTCAAAAATGTTTCAGCGATCGCTATAACGAATGGAATAATTTTTATATTCTTTGTAGTAATAGTTATTAAAAATCTTCAAAAATTATTGTATCTAAATTTCGTTGCTAACTTTTAGGGTTCGTTAAATATGCCTTTTACAGCATAATATTTAGGCCAAAATATTCTTGCATTCATTATGTTTTTGTCACTATTACATTAATATATTTATTTATTATTTTTATTATATTCATATATATTTATTATATTATTATTATTATTATATATTTTATTATATTGATTTATAATGTTAGTTACCTATTGTTATTATCATTCAGTAGTTGGGATTATTATTATTGTTTTAAATTTGTTTTTGTTGCATTATTAATGGTATATAGGCCTGAAATATTTTCGGGGAAGCAGCCATTTATAATAATTGCTAACGCGCCTAGTGCAATACCTCAGGGGTGGTGTGGAAAATTGCACGCAATTGCCTAATAAATACGAAAATATTATAGTATAGTTAAGAGACTTTTCCTTTAATAGCCCACAAATTTTTTGCTTTCCATCACAAAAGGAAGGATATTCATCAAAAATAATTTTATACATAAATAATGAACATAACTATCCCTTGCATAAAAGGAAAATAAAAGATCTCTTTACTATTCAAAAAAAAAAAAAAAACTTTTTTAAATAAAATCCAAATTTTCTTCAATATATCTTTGCTTTTAAAAGTATATGGTATCTGCTCCCCACAATCGTATTCCCATGAACTTCATACAGTATAGTGTATGTATTCTCTCTATCTTCCTCTCTACCAATTCGATCATTACTTGAGCAATAAATGCATTTATTTACATTCATTTATGCACAAACGTACGCATGAGGAGAATGAAACATATCCCAATTTCTCAATATTGTTCCAGAACAATGTCTTTGCACATTGTCTCTGATCATTATTCCTATACGATGCAAAATTTTCAAAGTAGACGAAAAAAAAAATGTCTAAACAGCTATATTCGATAGCTATGCTTACGTGAAACTGAATGTGAGTAAACTATGTTATGTATATATAAATATATAATATGTGAACTTGAAACAGAAAATGTAGGCAAATTGTAATGTTCACATATTACATACATATGTATATATCGGCTTTTTCTGCTGATTACGCGAACATAGTTATAGGTTGCATGAAACAGAAAATGTAAGAAAATTATGAGGTTCACATACTACTTACATATATACATACATATATGTATATATATATATATATATTCAAAAAATGAAAGTAAAAGAATTCTATATTATTAAAAATAAGTTTCTTAAGGATATTGCTATTATATCTCGAACATTATAGAGTATAGTGCATATAGCTTCTCCCTGCCACAATGCTCTCTGTTAGAAATCATTGTAATGAGTGGAATAAGTTTTATATTCTATATGGTAATAACTAATTAAATATCTTTGAATTGTTGTATCTAAGTTTCGCTATTAATTTTTAGCGTTTTTTAAATACGCCCTTTGGTATAGTATTTCTAGATCAAAGAGGTCCTTGTATTCAGTACTTTTTTTTTTTTATCATTATTACATTAATATATTATTTTTTATGTATTTTATTATATTATTTACAATAGTGACATTTAATATTACTATACATATTTTTATATATGTATATTAACAGAGCTATGCTTTTACGAAAAGAAAGAAAAAAAAAATTTCAATGTTATCCTAATTTATGTACTTCTTCTAATAAAATCCAAATTTTGTCATATATTTTTTTGCTTTTAAAAGCACATGGTATCTGCTGCCCACAGTCGCTTTCCCATGAATTTCATAGATTATAGTGTATGTACGTATTCTCTCTGTCTTCCTCTCTACCAATTCGATCATTGCTAGAGCAATAAATATGTCTTTATTTACATTTCTTTACGCACAAACATACGAAAGAGTACGCTTGCATTGAGAGCTAAACATTTCCCTATTTCTTAATACTGGTCCGGAAAATTGTTTCGGAACATTGCTTGCGAACATTATTTCTGTGTAGACTGTATGGTGCTAACTAACTATGTCAATTTTCAAAGCACGCAAAAATGTTGTATAAACAGCTATGTTGCAGCGTAAACTTATATTTAAATTCAACAAGCAAAGGTACAAGTCAACAATTTTTTCCACGAAAGCATCATAAATATGATGCAATGACGTTGCAATGGTCATTGATCAAGGATTTAAGTGATACTAGTTTCATTTGTTCGTAGCGTGGCCATCATATTAGTTTAGAGCAAATTTTCAAAATATTAAAAAAATGTTTCTCAAGGAAATGTCATAGATATAATACACCGTTGGAAAATATATTCAACGATCAAGGATTTAAGTGGTGTTACTTTCGTTTGATCGCAGCACTTGCTTTGGTCCCAGCTATCCATCGAATATTGTCACCATTTTAGTTCATATAGAACAAATTTTCAAAGTGCCAAGAAAAATTGTTCCCGAGGAAACTTTATAAATATGATACACCGTTGAAAAGGCTATTGATCAATGATTTACGTGGTGTTAGCTTCATGTGTTCGCAGCATTTGGTTTGGTTATAGCGGCTAAGTAAACTATCATTTTTTCAGTCTCGTTTTTGACATAGTAAAAAGACTTTTTCATAGTTTGTTTTAATTAATTAATATAAAGTCGTCTTTTCTTTATAATATTGAAAAAAAAAAAAAAAAAAATTCTGAAAAAGTTCTATTTTAATTAAATTATGATTTAAATCCCTCCGAGATTTCATTTAAGAGGACAGTTAACAATTTTGGTTTGTGTCTTTACTGGTTAAATATAAATATCACTTTACAGCCTTACACTAACTACGGAAAAATAATGAAGTTTGAGACTATCGCTTATGGTCAAAGCAGGAAATTCCTACCGATAGTCAACTAAATCGCAGCTGAAATTCTACTTTTCAGAATTAATTTTATCAAATTTTTGAAAATTTATTCCAAAACCATACGTGGCCCTGTCAACATTCACAGAAAAAACGTGAATTTTTACTATCTTTTTAAACAAATTCAAATTTGTTTTTTTTTCTTTTAACGACATATGCGCCGTAAATTTATTTAATATATGTATAGCTAAAATATAGTTCGCGCAAGAAGTATTAGAATATATATTTTGCTGATATGAATGGTAGTTTTTAATGCAGATTCACGTGATGATGTAGGTGAATATCAAGGTAATGATTGAAGACAAAATTACTTAAGTTGTATATGAAATGCTATGGAAAATGATTGACAAGAAAGTGTTACTTAGTGAGAAAAAATAATATTAATAATAATATAAAACATATGAAATGTGTATGTATATATATATATATGTTTTTCATTAAAAAATATAATTTATTTAATTTTAATTTAAAAGACAGACTTCATTTGAATTATTAGATAAGATTACACGAGATGAAAAAAGAGAAATAGAGAATTAGAGAGGAAATGCATTTAACAGCGAGCGTGAGCGGGAGAGAGAGAAAGTTTTCGAAAAAAAGCTTTTTTTTAAATGTAAGGTAAAAGCTTTTCATGACGAAGAGCCATTTCAATCTAAAAAGTTGGAAAAATTTTTATTATTTCGTTATTTTTCGAAGGAGTGAAAATATATTTGAATGCAAATTTGCAGTTGCTCGTCATCATCAAACGGAAAAAAAAAAAAAAAATGAAGCAAACTTACACTAATTGTGAATAAAAAAGGACAAAAAAAAAAAAAAGAAAAAAAATTAAATTAGAAAAATAATTCTATAGAAAAGTGCTAATGTAAAAAAGGCAAAAGACAACTACCTACCTACTTATATTGAGTATAAAAGTAATATTGTGAGATGAAAAGGAGCATATTTGTGCTTGCTGTTTCATATAATTAAAGAACAACAATATAAAAAAAAAAAAAAAAAAAAGTTATAGAACTAATCTCTAGTTATATCGGACTAGTTTTATGTGTGCTTATCCGAATGTCTATATATATATTTTTTTTTAATTTTTTTGTTGTTGCTGTTTCTCTGTTAACTTATCTTTAGGCATAAGGAACGAACAGTAACGAAAAAGGGGGCAACAGGAGTAATATTAATTAATGTTTCGTTAACTTAATAATAAAAAGAAAAGTAAATGAGAGTATGACAACAACAACAATCGATTTAAAAAGCAGTTGTTCTCAAGTGTTTTAATTTAATTTAATATAATAACAGATGTTTAGACAAAACATTGAGCGGATTGCACCAGCAGCACACGTAATAAAATTATAATAAATGAATGATAAAAAAAAAAAAAAAAACAAAGAGAATCTAATGAAATTTCTTTTCTGCAAATTTATTAATAATTACCTCTAACAAATTTAAACGAATACAATTTTTAAAGAAAATTTTGCAGTTAATAAAAGGTGAATGAATTAAATTCTGTATACTAATGAAAAATTATATTTTATTTATTATATACATGCACTACTTTTATTGAAAAAGTTTAGCGAAATTATTTTCATAGTTTAGTATTTGAAGGGATATATAAAAATTGTCTTTATATATATATTTTTTTTTTGATACGTTATTGTTCTTCTCTCCTGCCCAGATTTTTTTTTTCACCTTTTCTCTTTTGTCTTTTTTCGCATTACTCTACTCTCACTTTCAAGTGTGCACATACATGTACATATATATTATATATATATATATATATATATATATTTCAGAAAAAAAAAAAATCAATTTTAGCAAAGCTATATAATAGAATTTATAAAAATTTTCGGTGAAATGGAAAAAGTCAATGAAAGAAATTAAAGGAAAATATATTTCTTTTCAAAATAGATTGCGATTATCCGCTACTATTAACGTTTTCGGAAAATTTCTCTGTTTATTTGTAAACTAGGTCAATCTTTTCTGCATTAGTTTCGAATTAGGAAAACTTCTCTAGTTTTCTATGGCTTTATTTATCACTTTATTTGTGCATAAATTGTTTAATTTTTTTTTTTTTTTTTTGGAAGTCTTATGCTATATATATATATATATATATGGTCAGTCGCTTTATTATTGTAGTAACATTTTGGAAAATAAAAATTTTTTTTTATCAATTGTCACAAGGTTGTAGTCTAGAAATGCCCTACAGTTAATTAGATATAAAGCAAGGACGAAACACGATGCGAAAAACAATGATGGGTGGGTATTGCTGATTTTTTTTTCATTTTTGTTTATAAGTAATGAGCAAAAATCCTATCATTTTTCCTTGGAAGAACAAAATATATATATACATATATATATAGTTTGGAAAGGAAGGGTCGGAGACTCTCTTCAGTTTCTTTCGTTTTCTGCACGATGAATGGCTAAGATCGGAGCCACTTTTCCGAGCGACTGTAATGAAAAAGATTCTATGGCAAGTTGTTGAATTTAAATCTAAAAAAAAGTTCATATACATAACCGATATGCCTATACTTGGAGAAGATTGAGTGGATTTTAACAATATTGATTTCCATTTGGTTCGCATGTATGCTTGAATTAAAACGTTCGATTAGTGACAAAATCAAAAAATGCAATCATTTGTTAATAAACTATATTTAAATTAATTTTTCGAGATTTAAATTTTAAAATTAAATTTAATTGTTTCCTTATACACCTTCAACACTATACACTACGGACTAAGAGAGATAGACTAAGTCTTTTCTTGATTAATATTAACAATCAGTTCGATCACACTAGACTATCGTATTTTTTTGTTGGAAATGATTTTAATAGGGTGCAAAGATTTTCTACACACAGCTGTCTAGGTTGGGGTGGTTGGAATGCAACAGGCAGGACATTAAGTTGTAACTTAGCGGCAGTTCAGGCAACTTTATCGAAACGCTTTGCGAAGAACTCGAAGTCTCAAGTTCCAAATTCCTTTCGGGTAACGAAGTTCCCCCCTCTACGTTATACAAGGCGCAACCAATAGCCAATAATCTAGCAAAAAAATTGATTTTCGCAAAAATTTTGCTATAGTGTAACGTCATAATAAAAAAAATAAAGAAAACAAAAATGAAATTTGTAAAGAGAATGATGGAAATCTATGCAAAATATTTTCTGCGCCCAAACAACAAACAAACACAGGTAACAAAGGTCTATGTTTTTACTGCACTCGTAAGATCGAGCCTTGTTTAGCAGTTATTCGTATAATACAAAAACGATATTATATAGGTAATATATGGCTTATAAGGAATACAAGAAGACATATGTGTAGGGAAATGCTTGACTGTTTTTGCTATATGTCCTTAGTGCCAGTGTTAAAGAAAGGATAGGAAATTTTACTGCTATAGTCGAATTAATTGTAGTAAGTCTTTTATGAAAATTCGAAAAAATTTGAAGGAAACTTCTTACGTGCGTTAAAAAATTGTTACTCGAAAGTTTTTTGACAAACGTAGATCGTCTTGACCATATTCAAGAGTAGGACTCAATGCATTCTTAGTTTGTCGCAATTCGGGGCCAGTGGTATTAAACGCAATAAAACGTTATTCCGTTTTTCGACTTAAGAAATCTTAAATGATCAACACAATGATAAGTCGCATTACCGTATTATTTGATGAGAAAAAATAACGGAATCGATGGAAGTAGCAAAAAAAAAAAAAAAAAAAAAAAAAAAAATAAAGAAACCAAAAAAAATTAAAAAAAAAATAAAAAAATTCTTTAATTCTTGTCGTGCGTTTTTTTTTTTCGTTTTGTTCTATTTATGGCTATACATGCGAATTGACATAAAACCTTATAAAAAGTCGGTAAACTCAAGTCCCAGAGAAAATGAATAACGCATCATTGCGTTCTAAGTGCATAGTGATAAAATTTCATTCAAAGTTACATTTTCACATATGAAATCTATTCTATTTCTTTAAAAAACTTCTATGCAATGAAATTGTCAACGATTTTCTCAATTCATTATTTTCGATTGTTTAGTTAACATCTTAATCGCTGATCCAATTTGATGGTCGATGGCCCCCATATAAATGAGTCAATGTTAATTAGCGTTCTATATATATAAGCGAACATACGCCCGAACATATCCACCTTATGTGGTAGACTGCAAAACATGTCTGTAGGAAAAAATAATTGAAAAAAAAAAAATTGTATAAATACGAGAAGTGACATTAACATGAAATAGGTAAATGTATTAGAGATGATAAAGTCGACCATAACGACTTCGCCTAATACAATTCTTAATGTATTACCTTGAAAAGAGAACACAAAAATTGCATCTTATTTCCATACTTTATAAGGGTAGAGCTTACGTGGGAAGGACATTATAACGCGTGAATTGAATTAAGGCGATCCTAATTTAGCAAAATTAATTTCCTTATCAAATATATCTCACTATTTTGATGATAAATTTATAAAAATTAAGTAATTACGGCTTTAATATTAATTTAGCCAGAAAATAAATTCTAAGACTAAAAGCACTTAAAGCACTAACATCTAAGGCTTTCGGCTTGTTTATTAAAAACTCTAACGCATTTGAGATTTGAACCCAACACAACCATTGAGTTGCTAGTCGAGAGTCTTTACCTACTCGGCCAATCAGGCGGATCGACTTTAAATGTGGCCTTAAAAGTCTTGCATTTTATGCAGACGTGATCCAAGCTTTTAATTTTTTTTTTGGGTGGAAACAACCACATGATACGATTTTCATATATTAAAATATTAAAAATTACGAATTGTTGCTCTATAAAGGCCTACCTATCATATTGGTCCATCGAACTCAAATTTTTTATTATCAATCAATTTATCCCGAAATTCGAACAAATTTTTCTCGAAAAATGTTGTTTTTTTCAAACATTTTCATATAATGTGTATTTGAAAATAAATTTGGGAGACATTTTTTTTTTCCTCGCTTATATGCAGATAATATTGAAACGAGGTAAATTGGTCCATAGACACAATATAGCATAAGCAGGCAATAATACAATCGGAGAACATTTTTGTTTGCTAAGAGCAAATAAGTTGATTTTTTCGCTTATTAATCATAAGACTAGAGCTAGAAACTCTATCCAACCATTATTGTGTAGCGAAAAATAATGGTCTCTGGCTCATTATAGTGTTTTTTTTTTTTTTTTTGGTAAAATTTTGAATTTTGGCTTTGTAAGTTAAAAAAATGTAATTTAAAGTAGTACACTTGTTCCAAATGTGTTTGTTTCGTTCCATAAAAAATTTCTTTTTACATTTCCATCTTATTATCTTAAAAATATAAGATAATAGATATTTTGCCCGCCTGGTTTCAAATCTCATATCTTAATTCTCGTAAACTGAATCACTTGCATTTCTTCCTTTAACACGCGATTTTATCTCGTGCTATAGAAAAAATTGCATTTTTATATGTGTGATCTGATATTTTTCTTATCGGAGAACACAAAACTAGTCTGACCGCATTTCTAGTTACGTATAATTTTGCAACTAAAATATGCCTATACGCATACTTTGTAGTTTCATAGTTATGTGTGTGTGTGTGGGTGTGTTTGTTTGTGTTCGTTGTTTATGAAATCATTCTTATAATATAGGTGAACAAAGTGAACAAAGTAAATTGGAATACAAACATGAATTATTATTAACGTAAGTACCTATGCATATATAACGTATGCATACATAGATGTATATGCCAAATATGTATACACACACATATATATATATATAAACATATACATATATATAAGGTCATCAAATAAGTGTTCTATTTTTTAAAATTTGCAATAAAAACTTAACGTTAAAAGATATCAACATGAATTTTTTTTTTTTTTTATTCTAGACATTAGTTCATTTCATATTTATTTAAAATTGATTTCATGTATGGTGAAATTCGGAAATTGTTTGAAAAAATTCAATCCCAAAAGACTTATTTTTGTCATTTTCCCGCATAAATCTGCTCCTATCTACACCAATAATTCGGGGAAATCTTGGTGGATAAGGTGATTGAGAGTTCGCGATTACCTAGGGCAGTAAGCCAATGCTTTAACATAATCCCACAATAAAAAGTCTAATCTAGTTATAGTGCACGATATTTGTTGGCAAGCTTACGCAGACATTTTTCCCATAACAAATAAATGGTGCCGCGAGTCCAAGGCGAAACCATCTACTTCGTGGCACAAACAGTCAGTAAACATAGTTCTGTAGCGATGAGGGTAACTACAATGAGATTTTAAAAAGTCGCTGAAGCATTATCTTTGCTCCGAAACCGCTACAGTCCTTATTTACGAAGTGCTCAGCATTCCAAATGCATGTGCGAAACATAACCGTGTGTTCATTGTTTGCCCATTAATTATGTGATAAAGTCCAAATA